TCTCTCCCTCAAAAAATCAAATTATATTTTTCATGAGAATTGTAGATATCTATCTATATATTATATATTATATATTATATATTATATATTATATATTATATATTATATATTATATATTATATATTATATATTATATATTATATATTATATATTATATATTATATATTATATATTATATATTATATATTATATATTATATATTATATATTATATATTATATATTATATATTATATATTATATATTATATATTATATATTATATATTATATATTATATATTATATATTATATATTATATATTATATATTATATATTATATATTATATATTATATATTATATATTATATATTATATATTATATATTATATATTATATATTATATATTATATATTATATATTATATATTATATATTATATATTATATATTATATATTATATATTATATATTATATATTATATATTATATATTATAATATATATATTATATATTATATATTATATAATTTATATAATATATTAAATTGAATTCGGGTTCGGGTTGCTCGGGTTGGCCATTGGTTCTGCCCATGCCCGGCCCGAATTGCAATTTGGGCATCAAAAATCTGCCCAAGCCTGTCCAGATTACAAGATATAGTTGCCCAAGGCTTAAAAAAATTCAAACTAAACTCGGATTGTTCAGGTTGAGCCCGCCCGAATTGCACCCTTAGTTGGAATTGAGTCCGCCCAAATAATACTGTGCGTAAAATTATGGTTGATCAAGTGAGATTTGAAGGTCAAACCACGCAAACGGATCCACAACAAAACGCATCGTGCGGTGGAAACTACATCTGATGACGTGGCACATATTGGGCTCCTCTGATCATTGACCGTCTTTCTATTGGTTGTTGTTGTGGCTAACATGGCAAATCGTGGTTGGCTATTACTACAACACCGACAGCATTGCTAAAGGGCAAATTACAAACACCCCCTCGAGATTTGGTGAAAATATAGATTTTCTCCTGAAATTTGAGAAATTACATCCCACCCCTGAGGTTTATATTTTTATAACAAATTACCCCCTGAAATTTTTATTTTCATACAGATTCCCTCCTAATTTCTCCTAATTTGTTATGAAAATTTGACCTTCATAGGGCAATTTGTAATTTCTCAAACCTCATGAGGGAATATGTATTTTTACCAAATCTCAAGGGGGTGTTTGTAATTTGCCCATTGCTAAAATGCATCTGCCATTGTTTCTTTTTTTTGTTTTTGTTTTTGTTTTTGTTTTTTTTTTTTTTGAAAAATGTTATAAGTTTTGAATTTTCTACTAAATAAATGATTAAATATCTTATATTCCTTACACTCATGTGAAATATTTGATCATTTATTTATTAAAAAATCTGATATTTTTAATGAATAATACTTGGTAGCTCGAAATGGTTTTGGCCCGAATGACTCGATTGTCCAAACGACGTCATTTTAGGCATTTTTTTTTTCACTCTTAATCTCTGAAATAGGGAGAGAGGAAGAGAGAACAAAAGAAAGAGAATGAGAGAGAAAGAAAAGAAAGAGAGAGAAGAGAGAGGATTTATAGAGACAGAGAGGGCGCTCGACTCATCACCGGCGCCACAATCATATGTGTGTATGCACAGATAAATCTGTGTGTATATACACAGATCTATATACCTCTCTCTCTCTCTCTGTATAAATTTGTGTGTATAGAGAAGAAGAAGAAGAAGCAGAAGTGATCTCTGTGTGTGTGTATAAGTGCCAAAACTGTTGTTGATGATGATGTGTGATGATGATGATGTGTTGTTGTTTGATGTTGATGATGATGTGTGATGATGATGATGACGACGATGATGTTGTTTGATGTTGATGTTCTCTCTCGGTTGATAATGATGATCTGAGTTGATTGATGTTCTCTCTCTCCTCTCTTCTTCTTCTCCATCTTCTTCATCTTCACCTCAGCTTCAAAGAGAAAAGAGGGAGAAAAAAAAAATCTAAAACGACGTCATTTTGAGACTCGGGTCACTCGAGCCTCTATATTTTTGAGCTATAAATTGAAACTCATTTCTAACCTTACCCTACTATTTTTTATTTATTTATTGCTTAAAAAGGTCATCTGCATTTGTTTCATTAACTATTCTAATTGATGACTTGTCCAGTTTGGTCCCACTTTAGATTTTAAGGTTTGAGAAAGAGCACAAAGGTGTGGCTTTACCTGAATTTGAAAAAATTGTTTGGATTCATGGAGTTTACATGAATTTTGTTTTAATGAAAAATGTTAAATTAATATGAAAATTATAAAAAATTAATTTTATATATATTTTAAAAAATAAAATTTATTTATAAATCTCATCTTGAGGAATAGTAATCCGATTAGTTCCAAGATTTCTCCTATAAATCAATTAGTCTCATTGATTTTGGAAAGATAGATTAATATATTATTTGAAAATTAAATTTACAGTTATATTTATTTATATTATGTTTAAAAATATAAGATACATAACTTATGAGAATCAAATTTTGGGATAAATTTTTATGTGAGAATCTTTTTTAATTGAAATGACTAGAAATATGAAATTTTTCAAACATTCCAAAAAGATGTACGATTTTGAAAATATTTCAAAAGGAGTACAAAATTCCTTAGTAAGTTTTGAGTAAATATATAATTTCAATCTATAACACTGCAATGTAACATTCAAACATAACACTCCAATATAACACTTCAAAAAAACTCATTATTATACTTTTTTCAAGTGTAACACTTAAAAAAAATTCCTTAATGTAACACTCCAATGTAATTAAAAAAAAAAAACTTTAGTATACTTTTTCCAAACATAATATTCCAATGTAACACTCTAAAAAAAGGATGTGGAGATTCTTCAAACTATTCCAAAAGAGTGTGAGATCCTTCAAACCATTTCAAAAGGAGTACAAAAATTCATTAGTAAGCTTTGGATAAATATATAATTTCAAACTGTGAGTCTTGCATTTGGAAAAAAGTATACTAACTAGTTTTTTAATGTTTTTATGTATGTTACATTTGAGTGTTACGTTTGAAATTATATTAATTGGAGTGTTATGTTTGAAAAAATTACATTAAGAAGTTTTTTCATGTGTTACATTGGAGTATGCTACATTAGAGTGTTACGTTGTTACGTTTGGAAAAATACACTAATGAGGTTTTTAGTGTGTTGCATTGGAGTGTTATGTTTTTATTTGTATTGTGAGATTTGTTTTGGGAGGAAAAAATCCAAAATGTGTAAATTGCCTAAATGTGTAATTTCACATTTGAAGAAATTTGCTTTTATCCCTAAAAAATTAAACGCAAACGTAGAAGTGACTATCCTTTTATATAATTTTCAATTTAATGAAACCTTTAGGTTCATAAGAAAAAAATGAAGTATTAAACAGTTCACAATATCACATTTTAAGATTTATTGGTACTTCACAATTTTAAATATATATAGTTTATTTTAACAAATATACTTGTAATTCATTTTTGGTAAACAAAGAAAATAAAATTATAATTATCAAATCGATAGATGATATATATGGAGAGTGCTACAAAATAATTAATTCGAATGATTAAAACGAGACATGTAATGGGTCCACGAGCATGAACAATTTGATTTGAGAGAAGTCTAATCTAAAAAAAAAAAAAAAAATCAATTTATAAGATTGGATGAACTGCATTGGTATATTGGTTGGGTTAAGCTTAGGATTTGTTGTTGATAAAAAAGAAGAAGAAAAAAAGGAAAAAAAAAAAAATTTTGTTGCCTTTTTAGTTATTGTGAATTAATAGGTTTTTTGATGATGTATTTTTGTTTTGGCACTTAGGAGGAATTATCCTATCTTTCAAAAATTTCAACTAGATTGTGTATTCTTCCAATCTTATTGGTTGCTTTTATGTAATATATAGGACAAAAAATAATAAACAACAAGTATACCACGTAAAATATGGGGCGGACCCATGTGTTAATTTTTTGACACTTAAGCCATACGTTCATTTCTTTATCTTTTGTGTCATTAGGCTCAAACTATAATATTTTTGGGCTAAAAAGACATAATTTGTCCAAAAAAACACAGTTATCAGTGAAAATTAACTTATCTGTCTATCTCTTGAAATCACTCAATTTGTTTGTCTTTTAAAATTTATCAAATTTATTTTTTTATCGGTTGAAATTTATCAAACTACCAATCTATTGAAATATAATACACGTCATTCATTCAAACATTCTATATGTTAAATATCACACATTAGTCTACCTCAATAAGAGCATCAATATCAGTCTCTTTAAATTTTTAGTCAAATTAAAACTGAAAAACCTATTTTGCTATCTTAGCAAGTCATCCACTGCATCAAACTTTCTATTCTAACTTAATTTTATTAAAACATTATTTTGTTATTGTATTTTTTATTCTTTCCTTTTTTATTAAATTGATGAGGTGCCACCCAAACAATTCTTAAAAAATGAAAAAAAAAAAAAAATTGCCGTTGACCGGTCGATTGACCGGTTCGACTAATTTTCGACATTTTTTCTTCTTCTGCTACAAGTACTTACGGGACATCCAGTGGAATATCTGGAAAAACATCCGGGTGGACGACCGATTTAAAGATTTTGACCAAATTTTACTCTAAAAAATATAATAAAAAATTATATAATGAATGAACAGTGCTTCAACAAAATTGTTGATATATTATAACAAATTGAATAAAACGTTAATTTAGAAAAATTGTTGATGTATTATAACAAATTGAATAAAATGTTAATTTAGAAAAAATTTGTTAAGACGGATGGAGAAAGAATTTGTTGATTTATTAATTATATTTTAACTTTTTATTATTTTGATCAAACTAATGCGGATGATCTAACATCCCGTCGCCGGTTTTCGTCGTTGACAACCTTTCCGACGTCAACGACCTTTTCTCTAGTTTTCGACATACGATGTAATAAAAATAAATAAATAAATAGGGGCAGGGCAGGGCAGGGCAGGCAGGCAAATATTGAATATTTCATGACAATGGACAAAGTCCACACAGTAAACGACAAAGACTTTGGTAGGAGCTAGGCCAACTTCTGGAACGGCTGCCAACAACTCCTCTCCAATTTCAATTCTCTCCTCCTCTAACACGCAAATCGCCTATTCGAAATTTGGGCATCTAACCAACAGAGACTCTCTCTCTCTCTCTTTCTAAACTTTGATTTGAATCTCGACTTTCTTTCTCTAAACTTCTTCAGACATTCCAACTCGACATTAGAAGACTTGTTCTGCCTTTGCATCTGCATCTGCATCTTATCCCTCCTCTCGATCTTCTGTTTTTTTGGGTTATCAATTCGGCAGAGAAGACAAATGCCGAACTGGGCGCTGAAAGGCTGTTGCGATAAAGATCAAAAGATCTTCCTTATTACTATCGCTATCTTCACCGTTGTCATTTTCGCGGTACTTTTTTCTCTTCCTTCTTCTTCTATGTCTTCCTTTTCTTTATTTCTTATTCATTATTTCTCGGTACCTCTCTCTCTATGTGCTTGTTTGCTGGCTTGCTTGCTTGTTTGTTTGATTGCTTTAGATCCACCTTCAGAGCTTGGCTTCCATCCCTGTGCTTTCAATCTTTCCTCTTTTTTCAATTGTCTAATGTAATTTGCTTTAGTTTTGGGGTGACTATAAATTTAGACACTTTTCTTGTTTTTTGGTACATATATATATATATATATATACACACACTCAGGGACGGATCCAGACTTTGGGGGCTACTCTATAGTTTAAAAAATTTGGGCTATATATAATTTTGAAATTATCTAAAAAAAATTTCAGTGTGTGAACTCTTTTTCCTCTCGGACAAGTGAAAGTATAGAAAATGAGTAATACATTGGGTCCCACAAAAGCCTTTGCATCATCTGGGAAAACACAGCTCCAACCAGGGACGGATCCAGGATTATGACTTTGGGGGCTACTCTATAGTTTAAAAAATTTGGGCTATATATAATTTTGAAATTATCTAAAAAAAATTTCAGTGTGCGAATTCTTATAATTTTAAATTATTTAAAAAATTTTAGTATAATATATGATATTTTTAAAATTTTTGGGGTGCTGCTGCCCCCAACCCCCCTTGATTCGTATACACTAGAAGTTGAGCACATGCGATGGAGAAGATTGTGGAGAAAATTGTAACCCTCATCTAGGAGAAATTTATATGTAGATGGAGAAGAAAAAAAGGGCAAAAAAAAAAAAAAAAAAAAATGGAATTAGAAACTTGAGCATTTACATAGGGGCAATTTGGGTATCAAAAAATGCGTGACATAAGTTCTGTGCTTTATAAAATAGTATAGATATATATGTTGATTAAATTGTTTGTCATCTTGGCATGTAAATTTTGGGTTCAGAAGGAGAATTAGATTCCAAGAAGTTTGATACTAAGGCCAAGTTTGGCTATCCTAAACAACACACTTTTTATCTTTTTTATCTTTTTTCCATCACATCATCTCTCTACTTTTCTGCACATCTTTTCGTAAAAAGACAAAAAATGCACTTATTTAGGTCATTCCAAACAACTCCTAAATTTGGTAATCCCACTAAATGGAATCAAATAATGTTGTGTGTTCAATGGAAGCGAGTAAGAGTTCTGATTTAAGAAAAAAATGAGGCAGGGAGCATTTGCAACGATGTATGGAAGTTTTAATTGGAATTTCAAAACTGCACACAATCACACTAAAAATCTCACTCCACAACCACGCTCCATCCACAAGTTAAAATGCACAAACGGCACAACGAGCTCCTACTTATAGAGTCCAGGATTTTTATCAATGTTGGAAATGTGATTTGCTTGTGGGACTCTCTGTAAGTCTAATGGGGGCAAAGTAAACCTAATACTTGTACTTTTAAGGCTAGTTTTCTCTGTTGATGTTATTACATTGAAAGCTTGGAACCATTTGATAGACATATATGAATAATGCTAAGAGCTAGAACACATGCATTGCAATTATCACAAGAGGTTTTAGGCACAGCTATAGAAGCCATGGCGCAACAAAGTAAATACACGATGTGCTGAAAGTACTAATTTGGGCTAGAGTACTATGTTAGTGGATTTTGGAGGTTCTTCTAGGGCTATGTCCAGGTTCAACAAATCAATGCTATTTCAATATTTTGTTTCCATTTCCTGTAATTATCCCTAGTCAAACTTTCAGTAGTAGAAATTTGACTAATAAGAGCAGATGCATCCAAAAAATTGTGGAAGAAATATGAAATAATAAGTTTTCTTTATTATCCAATCATAATGCATGCAACAATATGGATGCTCAAGTCTTCTAATCCAATCAACATGCGAAAAATTTTTGATTAGATTTATTTCCGGCGAGAGTCCTTCGTACATCATTAAATCTCCCATTTGGGAAGAGGATATAACACACTAATGACCTCTCTATAAAAACTTTTTCGTGAAGCTAATTAATGAGGACTACACAAGCTTTTGATAGACTTATCACCTTTGGGCAAAATGAGCCCTCGAAATCAACATATCTGTATCAATCACCCCAATGCCATCTTTGAATTACTAGGCAAAATAACCCAACTTGGGTTGGTGATTGAACATAAAAACCCAAAAATGCAAACCCTATCCCTCCATTATTATAGCCTATAGAACTTTGAACGAGAAAATAAATGAATTTCTATGAATGGTCCTCTTTGGTGGCTACCACCCACTTTAGGGATGGTCTTGATGCCCATTAGCTAATTATTTCAATCACAAATAGATATGTGAAACAGTAAATTTATAGCATGAAAATTTGCACAATAAATTGGACAAAATATGTATAAATTTCCAAAAATTTCAAGAACCACTGGCAAAAAGATCCTAAAAATTATGAATATACGGACTGTACATGATGCATGGGGTCTGCCGGCATAAAGCATGATGCACAAAAAAAAAAATGATTGAACATGTGGTTACACACGCTGCAGTCACGGAGTTTGCATGTGGGGAAGGTGTCTAGGTAAGGCAAGGGATGTCACCTATCTCCCATGGGTCTGATAAACAAGGTATTTGGGTCAGATTATAGGTTTTCCTTGAAAGCCCATCATTTTGACAAATTTGTAAAAATTTCTTATGTAGAGTACAAGAAGCTCAAGGAAGGTTAAATTTAAAGAAATAATGATATTTAGATATCAACATGATTTCATAGAGAAACTGATAGGAATTTTATATAATTATGTTTTTAGTATTATTAAAGTATTATTTTATGATTATTTTTATGATTTGTAGGATTTTTTGGTTAAGAGTATTTTGGTAATTTTCATTATTGTTGTCATGGGTCGTAGGGGCCGCCCATGGATCGTCTTGTAGGTCAAGTTATTTAATTAGGTTTTATTTATGTTTCTTATTTTGTGTTAAATTAGTTTTAGATGTTAAAGATATTATAATAGTTTCATTTTTGGGTTATAGTTTGTTTAGGAAGTTTCCTAAGTCTATATAAAGTCATGTAATGCTTTTAATTGAATGGACTTGATATTTTAGAGAATTTTAGAGCTTTTAAAGCTTCTTTATGTATTGTGTGATGCAATCAAACCTAGGTGTGATGCCTAAGGAACTCTAGGATTGATTCTTAGACTTAGCTTCTTCTTCTCCTTCTTTCCCTCTTTATTTTCTGCACTTTAACTGCCCAAACGCTGTTCATGGGTACTTTCACTGCCCCAGAACAGCCCTTACAGTGTTGTCCCTGTTCGTCCTTCATCAAGTTTGGTATTAGAGCGAAAGATACTATTGTTTTGCGGATGTTCACAAACATGTATACGCATCCTAGAAGATCTCTTGGAAGGGGAATATTTTCTGAAAACCAAAGAGATCAAATTCTTTTAAAAATTGTAGAGCAGTTAGATAGTTTTCAAGTTCAGTTTAATTCTTTGGAAAGACGAGCAGCCCAACAGAAGGTTGTAAACAATCAGATTATAAAGGAAAAAATAATCTTATTGATGATTCAAAAGCAACTCAAGGAGATTTAATTATTACTCGAGAAGAGGATGAGGTCCAAATAGAAGACTTGGATGTCACACAAGCTGTAAGGAGTGAAGAATTAATGCATCCTGCTGCTGCTGTTCCAGAACTTATTATGCCTTTAAAGGTCATGATATTGCAACCTGAGGTCTTCGATGCAGTGCCTACGAAATCACCTAGTGAATCTGCTCCAATCATAATCAATGAAGTGGTCAATGGTGAATCAAAAGATGACATTGTGCTAGGAAAAGAGGCTAAAACGAAAAGGATCGAAATTGGGAATATCGAAGAAAGCCTTATGAAAATTGATTTCGATGAATTCAAAGATTTGATTTCTATGCCAATTGATTTTGTTATACTAGAAAAGTTTAGTGACATGATTGAAAAGATCGTCTTTCATTATTTTTTTTTGCAATCTCCGACGAAGAAAATGCGGTGTCAACTTGAAAATTTTAATGTGAAGACATGGATGCAATTTCAAAGCTTGTGGATTCTTATACTCCAACACTCAAAACTCGAGGTCGAGTTTTTTCCAACTAAGGGAGAATGATGTAGAGTATAAGAAGCTCAAGGAATGCTAAATTCAAAGAAACAATGATAGTTAGACATTGACATGATTTCATAGAGAAACTGATAGGAATTTTATATAATTATGTTTCTAGTATTATTAAAGTATTATTTTATGATTATTTTTATGATTTGTAGGATTTTTAGGTCAAAAGTATTTTGGTAATTTTCTTTATGACTGTCATGGGTTGTAGGGGTCACCCATGGGTTGTCTTATGGGTCAAGTTATTTATTTAGGTTTTATTTATGTTTCTTATTTAGTCTTAAATTAGTTTTAGATGTCAAAGATATTATAGTAGTTTCATTTTTTGGTTATAGTTAGTTTAGGAAGTCTCTTAATTCTATATAAAGCCATGTAATGCTTTTAATTGAATGGACTTGATATTTTAGAGAATTTTAGAGCTTTTAGAGCTTCTTTATGGATTGTGTGATGCAATTAAACCCTAGGTGTGATGCCTAAGGAATTCTAGGGGTGATTTCTAAACTTATCTTCTTCTTCTCTTTCTTTCCCTCTTTATTTTCTGCACTTCAACTGCCCAAACACTGTTCACGGGTACTTTCACTACCCCAGAACAGCTCTTACAGCGTTGTCCCTATTCGTCCTACATCAATTTCTTTAAGATATTTATTCAAGACATGATTTTGACCATATTAGGTGGTTTCTTGGTTGTTGATTTGACAATGAAAAGATGAAAATTTGACCGGTATATTTTATGTTATTGTGCCTAAACACTAAATTTACAAATTGATCCAAATCTCATAAAATTCAATCATCTTATGCAATTAAACATCAGAAACATATTCTCACTGATTTACAAAATAACATCAATAACGTTTTGGGTGAATTTAGAAAACTCTCTTTTCCAATATACATCAATTTTTTTAAATTAATCAAGGTTCTTGCCCTAGTATGGGTGCTATGATATCAAATGATAGACATATATGGATCATGCCAAGAACAAAAACACTTGCATCACATTAATTATGGTAGCATTTAGGTATACTTCTTTATTATTCTCTTAAACAATATAAGAATAGGGTTTTTAGTGTATATAGCGAGGAAATGGTACCTACCTATTTATAGAGAAAAACCTTCTCATTAGTTACTCTAATGAATTAGGAAAATTGGCCTACACTTTCGCTACCACACCTCAAAATACCAACAAGCACTAAAACCACAGGACTAAGGTGTACCATGATCCAATAACTGTTATGTTAAGTAACATCGTTTTTATTGGGCTCAACCTTATGTCCATAATATGGTATATATTCGACCTGTTTTTCACAAACCAAAAAGCGCACAATCAACATAAGCCCAATTGCAGAAATATATTCTGACACCATTAAGTGAGAACTGAGAACCATCTCTCCTATGCCTGATGATGATCCTCCAATTATTACAATTTAAGTAGACACAAGCTGTTGCTTGAAAGATGTCCAAATCTAGATGGAAATCTATTGAATATTACAATGCCTCCATTTTCAATAACCAATTACTAACATGTTCGTTTAACAAACATCACTCTATAGCGTAAACACCTTGTTTCTTTTTCTCTATGAAATATGTACTATAGACAAGGAAATGGGACGTGGAACAGATACACCTAAGGCAAATCCTGAAAAATTAGAACATGCACCAGGCAAGAACATGGGCATATAGAAATATGTATGATCATCTATATACTTATAATCTATCAAAGAGCATATAATATTCATTAATTGATTTAAGTTTGTATATTAAGCATCGCAAAACTTGGAAGACAAAGATTAACAAATACAGATGCACAATGGGATCCGATATGCTTATTCTACTATATTGTTGCATAAACAAACACACACATACTTGTATGTGTTCCTCTTTTACAATGTAATCTTCTTCATATTAAAGAGTCTTTCCTACATGGTTGACATCCTCTCAATGTGTATGATACCCCCCAAAAACTTCAGACAGGGTGCTGTTGGACACGTGCTTATGACTTTCAAATGCATGTGTGTGACATGATGTTTGACAGAAACAAGGCTGCTGTTCATAAATGACCTTGCTACATAGTTTTAATGTAAAATGCGTGACATCATAAATGTTTTTTCATGCTAATCTCCTTCCTGTATATCATTTATTTCATTATCTTAAAAGGTTTTCCAATGAAGGATTTGTGATAATTATTGTTTTTGTGGTGTAAAAGTTGAAAACTATATGGTTAAATAAATAGTTGAGAATTCTGAAATTGTTTCCATGTTTTTTTTTATAATGTAAATGTTGCATATCGACAATATGCTCATCAAATGAGTATAGGTGATAGAATGTGCTGAAATGAATGAGCAGGAAGGCAGGTCATGCTAAAATAGAAATTAATGTGATTGTAATCTATAAGAAGTTACGGGAAGCAAAAGACGAGAGTAATTTTGACTGAATCTATTAGGTCCTGTACTATGGTTGTAGTAAAAGACACTAGAATGACAAGGGGGATGCAAAAATTGAGATATTATATAATGTAGATCAATGTGGGTATCGTCCTATATACTTAAATAATAATAAAAAGGCATTGTCCTATATAACAAACCATGAAATAGAGTTCATGCTTGACATCACACAGTTAGACAAGATCTAAATTTCACTAGAGTTTAACACATGCAATTTGAAATAAATGCTAAATTTAATCCACAATAATAAAATAGTACTCCCTCCGTCCCATTTTATTTGCCCACTTTTCTATTTTAGTCCGTCCCAAAATGTTTGTCCACTTTCTATTTTGGGATGTTAAATTTTGTTAGATTTCCAAAATTGCCCCTTATAAATTATTATTAACACATTTTAAAATTCAAAAAGAAGGGTAATGGTGAGAAAAAATTTCAAAATTTGAATTAAAATATAATGATTGCATGTCTCCTTAGTAAGTTGGATTTTCTATAGTGGACAAATAAATAGGGACGGAGGGAGTATTGGCCTTTATTGATTTTTTTTTTTCCAATGATTTGTGTTATCTATTTTTCCTGATCAAACAGCTATGGAGGACCTTCGTACTGACGCCTTTTAAGCTCATCACTGTATTTCTTCATGAGGCAAGCCATGCAATTGCTTGTAAGCTCACATGTGGTCAGGTAAGAATATATATCTTCTGTTGTATTTTTTATGTAGAGGATTCATTTTCTTTTTCATATTGCTGAAGAAATTAGCAGGGACTTCTATATTTTGTAAAGCTTGTTGAATTCATTGTCTGGGTTGTAGTTATTATTGAATTGCAATCCAAGTAGGAGCTCAGATGGCTGATTTTTCTAATGAAACCAGTTAACTGCATTTACCTATAAATGTGAATTAACTAAAAAACAAAGTTGGTAGGTATGTAAAATTTGTTATCATTCATGTATACTTTGGTTAAATGGGACTAGTAATATTGGCGGAGTTTTATTAGGTGAGAGAGCTATTTTTGTTCAGCTTGTTAGTACTTTCAGTTGGTTAAATCATAGTTGATTTAGAACCGAAGGCCAGTGGCCATCACCCACACTTGTATATATAACTGAAAGCCCTAATGATGGGACAAATGCCTTGTCCTCAGTACCAAAAAAGATAATAAATTAGAACTTAGTAGCATGATTTACGAGTCAAAGATATATCAATGGGTTGGCTTGGGTATTTTCAGTATTATAGACGAAGTTTGTGCATGTTTCTGTTGTAGATATTCATTGTCATATGTGGTACTTTCATCTATGGGTTTTGAAAGAGGTGAGCTAGGCTGAGATCCAACCCAAAAGAAAAAGGTAAGTTGAGAGAAACTTTCTGTAAATATGCTACTTAGAGACTGTCCATGGCACCTACCTCCTCCCTGAATGTTAGCAGACTAAACCACATTAATCTAGACATATTTGTTCTTTCATTTGAACCTTTTTTTTTTTTTGCTTTTTTTCTTTTTTATGGGGTTTGATTGCCCTTAAAAGTAGTTATGCTGAAATTTGAAGCTTCCAAAGCAACTTCAAACAGGTTGATTTTTTCTTTGAATATATAATGCAGCATATGCTTATTTAATGTGACTAAAGTATGGATGGTTGGGACTTCAATGAGAAAGCAGATTCAAGGATCCCATCACTAAATTTAAGCCTTGATTAAATTAAATGTGCTCTTGCTTGAAAAAGAGTTGAATTTTTCTGTGGCTTGCATGGTTACCTGAAACACAGGGAACTCTTCTGCCATAAAATATCACTTTGATGGATATTTCACATTGAGGTGAACTTTAATAGTTTTAAAATTCCAAATCATCAAACTTGAAATCTTAATAAATTAGTAATTAATCTTCTTGAATCTCCCATCTTGGGATCTGCCGGGCGCCCAGACATCTGATATGTTAAATGGCATTACCAGCATTGCAAAAGAGAGAAGAATGATAATTAAACTGTTTGCAACTCCTATTTTGACAAATAAAATACAAGTCTTCAACGGCGTTGATACCAGAGATTCCCTCCGGTAAGAAATAACAAGTTCATCTCAGATGCACATATCTGAAAAGCATTATGGCCCATATGTTCCTGGAACAATTCATAGTATCCCTTCTCTTTTGGTGATGTAGTCCAACAATGACCACATCTGTATTTCCGAGTAAAGGAGAAAAATAAAGGGAAAAGGAAAAAAGAACTTCGTAACTCAAATTCACTGCACTGGTAATTAAACTCTTGCTTCAGTTTTTACCTGCATGCTACTGTCTTTGAACAAAATGATATCATACTTAAACATGTTCTATTGATAATTGTTTCATGATATTGCCGTACAGACGGTATTAAGTATTTTTATATTTGTAGGCAAACTGGTTAGGAGTCTAGTTCGCTACAGCATGCCTATATTTCATGTCACTCGGTGGATGTTTTCTTTGTATGCTCAACAACAGAATTTCTGACCTACCTTGATATGCAGGTGGAGGGCATCAAGGTTCATGCAAACGAGGGTGGGGTGACGCAAACACGTGGTGGTATATACTGGCTAATACTGCCTGCTGGATGTAATAGCCTCTTCCCTGCCATTTTCTTTTGCTCTGTAGAATGCATTATTATATTTATGCAACTAAACTATAACACACAGGATCTGTGGAACCATCAGAATGGAGTACAATTATTAACTCAATTGAATCCACCTGGTCTTCCAATTTTATATTTCCTCTTGTCTATGTTATCTTGATTTTGGCATTACCTTCCTTTTAGTGGCATCAGAGTTTTATAATTGCTTCTTGCATTCAGATCTTGGTTCATCATTTTGGGGAATGGCTTTAATACTTGCATCCACAACTCTTCTCACCACAAGAATTGCTGCTGGTTGTTTTATTGTTGCTCTGATTGTTGTGCTCTTCGTTGCTAAAAATGTGAGTGGAGATAAATTTCTATTTGTGTGCTTCATGCCATTTGCAGTTGCCACATATTATCATTCGATATTTTTCCTTTTATTTTATTTATTTATTTATTTATTTTTTGTGAAGAAAATAGTGGAATGTCTATGTTGTCATGGGTTTAAATTGTATACCATCTTACTTTCTTTATCCTATCATTGAAACAGTGGACCCTTCGAGGACTTTGCATTGGTGAGCACTTTCAAAATCTCAACAAAGTCTTCTTATAATCACATGATTCTTTGATATCCAATGGCTTCCATGGTCAAAGTATTGATACTCTCAAACTGAATTTCTCAGGATTTATTATTTTCATTGCTGTAATTTGGCTTCTCCAAGAGTACACAAAACTTCGCATTCTTCGATATGCCATTCTCTTCATTGGTATATGCTTTTCCCTTCTACCACACCATGTTATTCATTATTATCATTTGTGCTGAGCATAGATTCCCTTCCCTTCCATTTTTTTTTTCATTTTTCTTCCCATAGTTTCAATTTTTCATCTCCTTTATGGAATAGCGAGTGTTGCTTATATCTAATCCGGCAAATTGTGCAGGTGTAATGAACAGTTTGTTTTCAGTTTATGGTACAATCTATCATCCCTCCTTAGTCAATAGAGTAGATGCTAACAGAGTTATGAATCTCAATGACCTAATCTAATTATGCAGATATTTATGATGATCTCATATCTCGAAGAGTGAACTCCAGTGATGCTGAGAAGTTTGCAGAACTTTGTCCCTGTCCTTGTAATGGTGCTGCATGGGGTGTCATATGGTGAGCTTCTTGATCACCAAAAAGGTCATGAGTGGTTTGACTATAGAAATGTTCTGTTTGATGTGTTGGATGTGAATGTTTCCATGATTCCGTGCATATGTTGTATTCATCACTTTCTCACTTGTGGACTCCACTTTCAGGGGAATGATCTCTTTCGCATTTCTTGGCGGGGCCATATATCTTGGACTTGTCATCTTGTCTTGAGGTACATTTCCTTTTTGTATGGTTAGTCCACATCACAAGTCATGACATTGCAATAAAACATGCACTTAGATACTATTGGTGACTTATACAACCTGCACAAGTGTACTATAAGTTTTGCCCCTATTGAAAACACAATTGGATCCATGGCATTTGAAGGCCTGCATTTATAATATAGAATGGTGTTAGTGGAAATCTTAAATGGATATATTTAAACATATGCAGTGTATCTAATTCATCACATTTCTGACAAAAAGATACCAAGTAAGATAATTTAAATGCCATGTTAACACAGTTGATAATGGTATTTCTGTGATATGCCAAAACAATGACCAATGGTTTCCTGTGATTCTATTTGGGATTAATTGTTGAACCATTAATTAACACTTGAATTGTGATATAATTTAGTTAGGCCTATAGACATGTCTATTTTGATGCAACAAAAATCATTATTAAAGTGATTGAGGGGAAACAATGCCACAAGCTGATTGTGAGCATCCCGGAATGGCACCAGCAGCCTCACTTAAAGGGTTCAATTGTAAGTGTTCAATAATAGAGGTATAAATTGTTCTCAGAAACGATACAATACGATCCCTGGGCTTAATACTTCCCCATTGTTAACCTGGTGCTTCTTAGCTTGGCAAAGGAGTGTGTCTACTATTCTTGTGAATCTATTAGGAATGCCCATCCAGTCGACAAAATGGACCAAAAATTTTGAAGTTGCTTAAAATTGAATTGAAAGATCCATAATTTAAAATCATGTTCTTTGATAAGGCAAACCCTTGACTCATGTGACTATTGCAACTATGTTATTATTACTAACATAAGCACTTGATTTTCAAGAGTTTTGATATGTTACATAAGAAGATGAAGAGAGAAAGGAAAAAAGCAGATATAAGAAAGGGAGAAACACAAACTTGAAGCATTCATTGTACAGAATAATTTGTCCTGCATTTTTATTTTTTTTTCTTTTCTATCTTTTGTTTGTTTATCTGATGGGGTTAAAAAATTTGCTTTGGAAACTTGTTTTTACATTTCTCACTTAATAGTGCATTTCATCTTACCCTAACTTCGAATTTTGTATCTAATTGCAGGTTCTCAGACTAGACTTGAATTCTTCTTCATATTATGGAGAGCACTAGCGCTCATTTTTTCTTGTTATTTCCTTCATGATAGTTGTATTCCAGACCTAGACTATCTGATTCATCTGAGATTGTTTAGTGTGTTTTATTTGCACTATAAAAAATTCAATTGCTTCATTCTTTTAACCCTTTCTTGGGTTTCACATTTCTGATTTATGACTATACTGTATAGCAGAACTTGATTGATGTATTCAATTTTATTAAACACTCTAGTAGAAGTTTTTGATTGTATTTTGCATTAAAATCTTCACACCTGCCAAAATTGATGAACCCGATGGTAAATTGAATTAAGCCTTTTAAGTTGGTTTCTCAACTAAATGTAGTAAATTGAATCTAATGGCCTATATGGCAGATAACAAATACTATTGCTCTCAAGGCATAACAGAAGCAGTAAATGAGAGAGGGATTAGCAGAACAAATACATACCATGACAGCGGATGTTGCTTAAAAGAGCTGCAACTGAAGACAGCGATACCTGGCTTGGCATTTCAGCTGCCTGGAAAGATAGAAACAATATCCATTACATTGATGTAGAAAGAGAGAGAACACCCCAAGCAATCATATGAAGAAAAAAGAAGAAGAAGGAAATGCGTACGCTACTAGCTGACATAGACAAGCAAATGCACACTACATTAGGACTGGTTACTTCAAATTACTCCCAAGGCAAAACTGCAACTGAGCTATGATTGATTAAATGCACTAAACACCTACAATAGAGTTCAACATGCCATACAACCACACAAAAATAAATTAATTGAAAACAATCTACCGTCCCTCTTCTACCATGTGCAATGGAAGGATAGTACATATCTGTAAATTCATGAAAAGACTCGGATTTTTTTATATCAAGTTCTTCGATATTATGAAAATATAAGCAGGATAACAATATTGCATTTTTAGACTATGTATGGATATTGAATTTGGTAAAAGATTTGTGGAGGAAAAAGAAAAGCAGAAAGAAAAATGAATGAAATAAAAGTTAAATTTTTCGCAATTCCCTTCCCTTTTCTCTTCCTTCCACAAATTCCTTCACAATCCTAGATCCAAACATAGCATTAATATTTATGATTTCAACTATTACGCTATCAAATCTATATTGACATCTAGTTTTCTGAGTTAAAGTAATTTGCAAAATAGGGAAATGTGTTTTAACTTTAACAAATTTAACATTTGATCCACATTCATAAGATGTTTTGAAATTAAAAGAAAAAACTATTTTAATTATACTTTTGGAGTATGAACACGTAAGGCTCCATAAAATTTTGATTAGTGGAGAGGGATAAGACCCACAATTTATGTTAAGAATGGGAGAATAACATGAAAATTAAATAATGAATGATTGATTTGAAGCATGATCACGTAGTGTTTCGAAAATATTGCATGGTTTCCCTTGTAATCTCATAGAAAATCTTAGTGCAGATATATCATCATTAATGCAGAGTCCAGATATCACTAACTTACATGTCCATTTCATTTATAACAGTACCAAAGTCGGATTTCATGTTGTAGATTCCCTCATCATTTCAAACTATGTTTACTTTATCAAAAAAATGATTTCAAAATAATCTGAGAAAGGGAGCTCACGGGTATCAATCAAAAGATCTTCCACAAGTCACATAATGCCGGAAAGCACCAGCTGGCAGTCCAAAACAAGACAAGAAAGCTTTATTGCTAACAGCTGAAGCAGGAGAACAAAGGAATCAAATCCACCGATTACAACTTTTGATTGGCACTTAATGTTACTCACATGACAATTTGTCTATTCTGGATAGGTCCAACAACATTTTTGCATCCAATTCCACAGTGAGGTTTGTGAGATTTGCATCAAAGCCCATCCAAAGCCCATCCCTCAAGGCCCGGCTATCCAAAGCCCATCCCTCAAGGCCCAGAGTTCGGCTTCAATGCCTGACATGGAGCCCATGTGTCTGCAGTATCCTTTGATCCATTTGCCATCATGATCCCTGATTATGCCTCCTCCGCTTGCTGGGCCTGGGTTGCCCTTGGAAGTCCCATCCGTGTTAAGCTTGTGTCGGCCCAAGTCAGGAGCACACCAACTGATCTGGGTTGGGATTTTTGTGGGTTGGTTTTTTGTGTGGCCTGTGATGTGAATAGGAACCATTCAGCAGCAGCTTTGTTGAGGATGATGGGGATAGGGTCGGGTTTGGTACACAACTGCTACCTGAGGAAATTTCCCCACATCATCCCATGGAAGAGACAGGGATCCTCACATAACAGATCCGTATTGCAATCAAAGGCTAGTAGGCAACCACAAGCAAACATGCCACTGTTAGCAAGTACATGTCCACGAACATTTATAAGGCTACAGGAGATGCATTAACATACCTTCTTAATATGTTTATTCAATTTGGGTGCAATGATCACCCAAATCCATATGTAATTTTGAAATTAAAATTAATGATTAATGATCATAAAGTAACATTTACCATGTAAGAACATTACAATTGACACATTTTGACATTATATACATGTAAACCATGTTTATTTGTCATTATTAGAATTTCACATACACATAAAGTAACAATAACTATAGCTAAGCTAAATGAGATTCATCATAATCCAATATAGTAACAGTAATGCTAGAAATTTGATGCACCAAAAATAAATACTAAACTATACCAAATTCTTTTAGAATAATGGCAAGTCTAGGTATTGATCCGCATGGATAATTGTAAAATTAGACTAATTTAATCACTCAATTCCTAAATTAATTTTGATTAAAAAGATTGAGAGATTTTATGACTAAAAATGAATTAAATTGACAATTAAAAATTAGGGTTTGAGATATTAATTTTTGAGAAAAATTTTAGGACAAAAAATTCACCACTAACCATATAAATGAGATTAAACATTGGTTATCAATTGCAATCCGGTTTGAAATACCAAATATTTCACAACTACAAGTTTGAAATATTGATCAAGAGGGTTGTTGCATTCAAAGTACAGGCACGAGTCATCCCGAGTAGCATGAGGTGTTTGCTCTAAACTACGGTAGCAACACAATCCATCTCTCATAGCATGACTCGTCTCGTACTTTGAACACAAACACGAAGAAAACTAATGTATGGAAAGCATTTAAACAATCACAGAGAGTAAAATACTTGAAGAGATGAAAAGAATAATTATTATAAACTTCTAAAATATCCATACATTGATTCAAACCAAATCACAATCAAAGCATATGAAAAATCTTATTACATGGCTAGGGTTTCATCAAAACCCTAGAAAAGAATAACCTAGCCACTTATGGAGGAGTGAGAAGAGGTGGAAGAGATGGGAGAGATGGAAGCCCCCATGGAAGTTGTCTTGAAAGCTTGAGAATTCTTCTTTTTCTCCAAATCCTAGCCTCTCTCTTCTTGGAATTAATTTCAAAACCCTAATCTAGTCTCCTTCTTGCCTATTTATACTTTTGCTATCTTTCAAACAGGTTTAAAACATCGGGCCCGTTTTCCAAGAAAAGTCAACGCACGTACGGGAAGCTGTTTTCTCTCCAAATTCTATATTTTTGCCCATTTTATGCTCCGACTATGTACAACCTGATTAACACTAAACAGACATAAAATATATAATTTGACAAGCAAGTAAAGGTAAGAGATCTTAATTAACGGTTTCAATGTTGTACAATTCAGCCTTAATCACATCCCCCAACTTACAACTTGCTAGTCCTCAAGCAAGTAATAAAAATAAAACAAAATTAAACAAAATCTAGCTATTTCCTCTTTCGTGGGAAAACGGTTGTATTTAGCATATGCAACAAGCCTTTAAACCACAAAGTTATCCCAAGTGGACGAGTAAAGTCTCGTGAGGGTTTCCAGAAATGATACCCACAAACATTAACATATTCATATATACTCAACAACAAATGACCACATTACTCCACCTAACAATCAACTTATGTGCCACTACAGTGTGATATTAAGACATAATGAGTCATTAAAGGCACAGTGGACAAGCATGAAAGAATCTATTGAGTCAAAACCACAATTCAGTTAATATAAAAGTAAAGTCTCCTGTATATGTGCATGCTAGTAAACAAATTATCAGTACCCTCAGCGTAAAGTGCAATCTCCATATTAGTTAACTGTCCACTATAATAGCTCAGTGTAACTCATAATAACACCCAACATATACAGAAAAACTAAACTGTTGCAGCTAAGATTTTCAAAAGTTTTTTTTTTTTTAGATGACTGCGCAATGTCCTGATCCATTAAGCTTTCTAATCAACCCATATAACAAGCATTGGGCCAATGATTCCCAAACCAGACGGTTTTAGGGCACTAGGTGTGAAGACACCCCTACGAGCTTAATAACTCGAGTTGAAAAGGCTACGAATCTGAACAAGTCATTCTCCTTATTTTTCCTTAACTGTGCAATGTCTAAGTCCCTTAGGATTTCTAATTAACCCATGTAACAAGTATTGGGCCAATGACTCCCAAACCAGACAGTTTTAGGGCACTAGGTGTAGAGACACCCTTACGGGCTTAATAACTCGAGTTAAAAAGGCTACGAATCCAAACAAGTCAGATGTTTTATTTATTTATTTATTTGTTTTTAAGAATCTTGGCTCCTATTTATTCTTTTCTGCAACCCTAGCCATTATCAATGATGTACACCAGGGATTATAATAAAGAAGTCACTGCTATGATAGTGTGTTCATGTGAATTAAGGCATACTTATGACAAGTGTACTAATACCACAAACACAAACAACTTTCCTAGTGCAAACATCACATGCAAGTATGTACCTAATAAACCCTTTTCATACAAGTCTACTATGCTCCCCAATTAACATATGCAAATATCATCACCCTACTAGCGACAAGTCACATCAAGTGAAGTAATGCAATCAAGTGAAACAGGTATAAGCATGAATTATGAGCCAAATAGAAATGCACAAAAGAAAATACAACACTCATCCCCCAACTTGAATATGACATTGTCCCCAATGGAAAAGTAAAGAGAAATGAGAGAATATTACCAAAGATTATAGGTACACATCCAGGTAGGCATATAGTAACACACACACACTTAACACACTTTCTTCTTTTCTTTTCTTTTCTTTTTTTTTTTTTTGATGAAAAGAAGAAACAACTAAAAATAAAAATAAAAGAAACAAAGCAATATATAGGCTGGTACTACTAAGAATCTGGTAGTGGTGGTGGCGGGAAATGCTGGGCAAACAAGGCGTGCATCAAAGATCGCGTCTCAAAGGCT